GGGTTTTGGGTTTGGGTTTAGGTTTGGAAGCGGCGAACACAGAAGAAGAATAACTCGACATCGGGCGATGTTCTTAGGATCCACATTTTCACATAGTGCCAGCCTAAAATCACTTGGACGCAGCTTAAAGCTAAACTTAATTGCCAGTGATTAACTCCTCATGAGACACACCTGCTTTCGTTGAGAACCCGAGCTGCTGGGGTTGTCGTACGGGTGTTGCAGGCGAGGGCCGCGGCCGCGGTCGTGGAGGGCAGGCACGGACGAGGGTTTAGGATAGGTTGGGGATTTAGTGGCTTAGTGTTCAGCGTTCGTCAGTTCATCGTGTTTATAAAGGGGTTCAGGCCTGAAGCTCGCAAGAATGCTTTTCAGGCCTTTGCTGTTTTATGGCTGAGAGTTCTCTGAAGGTAGACAAAGTGTAGTACCTACACGTGACCAAGACTCTGCGGGAGACAACGCAAGCCCCAAGCGGCAAAGCCTAAACTCTACACTTGAAACCCTATGAAGCCGAAGGCCACAGACATAGCCCGAAGCGTGGTTAGGCTGCGGGCCCGGGACAGAAGCGCGAAGGGGGCGGCGGCGACAAGGCCGGTTGGGTCACGAAAGGACGATGCTGTCTGACAGCAGCTGTCAGTGTTGTTGTTTCTGTCGCGTGAGTATTGCTCCTGCTCCTGCTGCTACTGCTGCTGCTTCTGCTACTGCTCCTGCTGCTGCTGCTGCTGCTGCTGCTGCTGCCTCTGATGCTACTATTGCGACGACGAGCACGACTACTACTGCCATACCCCTCCTGCTCCTGTGGCGACTGTTGCGGCTTGCGTTGACGTGACGCACGACACCAGGCCGGAAAGAAGGCACGTGGATGAGGAACATCGGCAGGCAATGGCGTGACCTGACATTGTTGTTTGCTTTTTAGCGCTTTGGTTTAGGGCGCAGGGCTTTAAGCCAGGGTTGTAGGATGTGTGCGAGGCAGTTTTGTCGGGTTGTGCACACTGCTGACTCCATGGGCATGTTTGTCAGTAAGTTGCTAATTAAACCGTAGGCCCGGAGGAGCACGCTCCTTATTCTGAAGGAAGCCTTGAGCGGGATGCCTTTCGAGGAACTACTAACACTGCCAGGCAAAACTGACACGATACACCATTGCTGATCGTCGCAGGTTCATGAGTCCTTCCATGTAGAGTGCCAAATTGGCGGATGTCATCGAGTTTTGGATCACGCGTATTGTAAATGTTTGCAGGCTTAAGACTGTAAGACCACCGTCATATCCACCCATGGCCCCGATAGCACTGAGCACAACCCTACAATCCATGCACCTACAAGTAGCCCCGAACATGGCACGGACATGCACAGTCGTGAGCTCTTGACAGGGCGCTTTCTCAAAAGACCTCGGTAGCTACATGGGTTCTATATGAGGATGTTATCTTTAAGTTCAATATGTGTATACATATGTAGATATATACACATACTTTCAATATTCAGGGTCCAGGGTTTTGTGAAGTGTTGAAATTACAGGGCTAATACACTTTCCCGAGGGATCCTAGGCAGGTTCGTGGCGGATACGTATGCCGACAGTAATCATAAGCACTCTTTACTCTTTACTTGATATATAGAGGTAGTTAGGGTTTAGGGTTTATAGGGTTATAGAGGTACTTAGCAAGTTTTGGATATTATAAAGTCGCCAGAGGTATCGAGAAGCCTACTGGTGCCACCGACTTTGGACGCTGGCTGGATCCAACATCAGTGGCGCGTGTGTACTAGAAATGTGCGCTGCCTTGCTTCTTTTTGTGAACTGCTTTATCATAGCTTTTTGTAAGCCGCCCTGATTGAGAAACCACATCTAGTGCAGCATGTATTTCACGAAGCGGTGTTATGGTGCATTATGCGTGAAGGAGACACCGGACGAGTGTGCAGTTCTGACCGTTTCTGCTTTCAATAGAGCTTCAAGTTCTTGCGTTCGGCAAATTCCGATGAGTTCAACAGTTCAACCGACACATGTAAGACAATGCGAGTGTGCGATTAGGGCTATGGCTAGGGCGTTAAGGAGGTTGGCCCATCCAGCTTTCAGCATCGAAGCTTGTACGAGACCACTGTGAGCAGAAGCTTCAGTGTGACTGCGAGTACATAAGCCGCGTCAACTCAAGCGCTGACCGGGTCTGATAGGTTGGGGCAGAATACCGAAGTCTGTCAATTCGCGAGCCTGGTACGGAACTGGCGGCTCTTCCCTCTCTGAACGTCGTTTATTGTGAGTCCTTCATTACCGTGCTGTCTTCGTGAAGCTTTCTTTCAGGGCCTGTAAGTGATGCCGTAAGCAGGAGTTGTCAAAAAGATAGACAGCCAGGGGTTTAAGGGTTTGGAGTAGCCAGTCTTGGCAGCTCTGGCTGACTCTGCCTGGCGAGGCTGAAGCATGTGCGGGCAGCAAAAGCTGTCAGGACCCTGACATGACCAGACATGGGAGTATCGAAAAACATGGGCCTTAATATGGACTCTGAGTGGTTGAGTTGTAGGATAAGGACCCTGCCCAGAAGATGGAGCTCCCACTTCAAAGAAATTCGCGCACATAAGCAACAACTGGAAGATCGGCATGTGCTGCGGCTGTATGTTCTACAATTTGTTCACTAAACCTTCGGAGCTTACAACCTGACGTCAACATCCAAGGCCTCATATATCAGTAAACTTGGTTCCCGTAGACCTCGCACACATTCGCAGCGGTGACAGTTTTTGGCCAAAAGGGCGGGGCCATGATGCAGAGTGGGCTTCGATGTGCTGCCGTGCACAGTGACCGGCGCTGGACCCGCGCTTACCGGAGCGCATGAAGGCGCCTGCTTCATTGATGTGAGTTTAGATTATGTGCGGCTTGGGGTTAGGGCGATTGAGGCCTATTGGGGAAACTGCACAAATCACCTGCAAGGCTTCAACACCCAATGACACATTGCCACGGCGTTTGCGGCTGCTCCGTACTTAAATAACAGGTTCAAGGGACTTAGTAAGAAGCGTTATCAATAAAGCAATTATACGTATGATTACTTGTAACAGTTAAATGAGGTACTTGTAACTGTACTTGTTAAGTCCCATGAACCTCCAAGTACACGTCCGCGAGTTGCATTCCTTAGTGCTGAACTCTCAACCCAACCGGTGTGCACTCCGGACCATCGTTGATAGACTACCTGGTTTTCACATCGCGAGGGTCATGAAGTGCAGACGCTTCTTTCGGGGAGCCTGCCGGCATTCACCAAGGCCGCGACGAAAAGGGTCGATACCAGGACCCCCCCCGGTGTCAATTTCCCCATTTCTGGAGGTAGTTCAGGGATCTTCAGGACTACAACAAAGTTCAGTTGGGGGGCCTACTTACTCTAGGCATGTGGTTGCATCACGGGGGTAGCATCTGAAACTTTTAGATCTCGCCGGTTTCGTGTTTAGCATCTCCAGGCTTGAAGGGTGCCCCTGGATAGGGGTGGCTTGTTATTGATGGGATGGGGTGCCGTTTCGAGATTGAAGAGTGCCGGGGGTTGGGAAGTACCTCCCTTCAGCTTCCCAACAACCTAACTCAACCCCTAATCCTAAACCCCAAGCCTTTAAGAGAAAGCAACAGGTGATCTCTGGGCATGGGCGTGCCGGACCGGGCTGCACTGCCAATTGTAGCATCTCGACGGCATTTCTGGCCGTGAGGGCCCATGTGCCCCAATAGTATATGGTTTAGGGTTTAGGGTTCATGGGGAGTTCTCTAAAGTGGGGTCCCTTTTAGGGTACTCTTTTAATAAGGGGACCTTAAAACGGGCCCGAATTTAGTGAACTACCCTTCTACTTTGGCATGAGTGGTACCTATATTGGCCAAAGCATATACCCCTTGGGCACATGGAACCTTGAGGACTTAAGCATCCTTAAACCCCTGTGGTACCCATATAAAACCATTAAAGGATCCCTTTGAAGGAACTCTCACAGGTTTAGGGTTTCGGGGTACCCATATACAACCAGTAAAGGATCCCTTTCATGGGAGCCAGGACCCTTTGATTAACGAGTCTGCCCTGAGGCTTACGGCTCTCCCCCAGATCGCCCAAAATCCGTCATTTAAGGAACATACTTCAAATCGTAGGGACATATGTGTATATATATATATATAGATAGATAGATGTGTGTGTGTGTGTGTATATAGGGGTCCTACGATGACTTAAGGCTGAACTTAGTCTGAAAGAGTCCTAAACGGGCAGCCTTCAAACCCTAAACTTAGTCTTAAAGAATCCTAAATCGGAAGCTTTTGAACCTAGACTTGGTCCTAAAACTTAAACCTAGTCTTAAAGAATCCTAAAGAGGAAGCCCCCAAACTCTAAACTTGTCCCTAAACCCTAAACTTAGTCTTGAAGAACTGCTAAACCGGAAGCCCCTAAACCCTAAACGTGGCCTTAAACCCTGAACACCATTGAAGGTTTGGACCCGGACGATTCGGAAGATTTGCCCTCCCAGTTTGAAAGGTTTGGTGGAGTCTGTACAAAACTGCAACAGTATAGGGGCCTTAGTAATCAGAGTAGGGTTTTGGGTATGCTATACTACAATAAAACTATAATTAGGAACCCCCCCACCCAAAAAAAAAGGATAGGTAATTATGTAGGCCCCTACATTACCCGATGATTTCTAAGGGCTTTGGACCCTTGCTTGGAGGTTCATGGGACTTAGCAAGTACAGTTATAAGTACCTTGATTGGGGTTATGAGTATTTATGAGTGTAGTTACCTCGTCTATAACCCTAGTTACTAAGTCCATGTGCTTCGCTAGGCTTACGCCAGCCAAAAAGGTGAACAATTGGTTTTATGCCCGCTGCCCGTAGATGAAGTTAGGGCTAGCCGTTCCCTTAATTAAAAGCTGCTGTTAGCATCTCTTGTGCTGGGTTACTTTAGCCGAGGTGTAGGAAAGTCCTAGTGTAGGTACCGGGAAGAATGTCCAGTAAGAAAAGAGGCTGAGAGAGTAAATATAGCCTAGACTAAAATACGGGTTATGCAAGGGATACCATTGCTACTGTAACAAGTCCGACCCCTAAAGGCCCATGTTCTCACTTATTCACATTTGGCCTGAAAGTAGTCCTTATATCGATACTCTAGGGCCAATGTGTACAGTATAGACTATACGACAATGTGGGACCTGGGTATGATTGTCAGATCCTCAACCCAATAAGCCCTAAGCCCTAAACCCAATAAGCCGTAACCCCTAAACCCTAAACACTAAGCCCCAAACCCAATAAGCCCTAAACCCTAAACCCTAAACACTAACCCCCAAACCCAATAAGCCCTAAACCCTAAAACCTCAACCCAGTAAGCCCTCAACCCAAGCCCCAGACTTCAAACCCTAAGCCTTGAACCCCAGACCTCCCTGCCACCAAGGAATTCTAGACGCAGACTATGCACATAGAAAACAGCTCCAAAACGCAGGTTTAGGGTTTAGGGGTCTCAGATGGAAAACCGCTCCAAAAACACGGGTTATAAGGGTTTAGGGTTTAGGCTTTACGGGGTTTCGGGGTCTAGGGTTTAAGGGGCTTAGGGTTTAGGAACCATAAACCCTAGACCTTTCACCTAAAGCCATGAGCCTCCCACGGAAGAGGCACGTCTCCTCGATCTGCCCTACGACGCCCCGGGATCTCAAGTCGAATCTCTGGTGCGGCTCGACGACAACGGATGCCTAGAGCATGGAGTTTAGGGTTTCTAGGGTTTGGGGTTTAGGGTTTATAGGGTTTAGGGTTTCTAGGGTTTGGGCTTAGGAGTTGCAACCCTAAGCCCGAGACACCCTCAAAACCACATAATCAGGATTGAAGCTTCAGGGCGTGGTGGGATGTTGATGGTGCCTTTGGAACTCGGGGCAAGCTTCGAGTTCAGAGCAGGCTTGTTGCTGAAGGATATCCGTAGCTGAAATTAGGGTCCCTGTTTGGTTTAGGGTTTAGGGGAAAGGACATGGCACAGGCTTTAGTGTTTGGGGGTACAGTGGACTTTGACTGTATTCTTTGTTTCAAGGCCAGGGGATGTCGGGCCGGGGTCTGTTTCTTGCAGTGCATGTGCAGGGCGCTCGTTTTGAGAAGCCCGATGCAAGAATTACACGGGGCATGTCGCAGGAGAACATTGCAGGAACATGCAAAAATGTGCTGTTCAGATTGGAAGGGCTTGCACGATCAAGCCCGAAATAGCGCCGCTATTGTGTTTCAGGCTGCAGATGTCACTAGCTTTTTTCCGTTGGTGGGCCCACACTGAGTATCCCGACTTGATATTCTGCAAAAACCCCAAACCTCGAAAGGCCCACCCCCGAAACCACAGAAGCGGACGAACTTCTGAGCCCTACGCCCCAGGGCAAACCAACCCCAAAATCCTAAACCCGGCGAAACCCGGCGCGTGCGAGTCGAGACCTGTCCCCACGAGGAGTGAAGCCTTTCAACGGTTTATTTAGGGTTAGGGTTTAGGGTTTATAGGGTTTACGGTTAGGGTTTAGAGTTTATGGTGTTTGCTTCTCTTCCTGCTGTTACGAGTGCAGCGTGGAAAGCCACAGCTGTCACGGCGTGACGTTGCAAGCAGTTGCAAGCGCGTCGATACTGCGAAACACGCGGCCAATTTGGGGTATCGAGCTGAACAATCTCAGGGACAAGCCATACGCCTGAAGCCTACTCTCAAAACCCCAAGGCCATCAAACCTTCTGTGCACGATGCCTGAATCCCCCAGCACCGAATCATGAAGCTTGAGCCCTAGTTGATGAACCGTAGCCCTCAAACCTAAACGGCCCTCAACCCTAAGCCCTAGCTGATGAACCTTTAGATCCCGAATGCCCTGAAGCAGAGGACCGAATCCCTTCAAGTCTCGACCCCGAAACCCCAAACCCTCCGAGACCTCCTCAGAGACAAGCTTGAACTCCACAAACCTACCCGTTTTAAGGAAACCTGTGTGGCAGTGACTCTAGTGAGCCCTCACGCGATCGGTTTTGCTTAGGCAGGCAAGCCCTAAACCCTAAACCCTGTATGGCCGCAACCTGCAACCTAAACCCTGTAGACCGTAGTTTAACAAAAACCCTATAAACTCTAAACCCTATAAGCCTTATAAGTCCTATAACCCCTAAACCCTAACCCTACAAACCCCAAACCCTAAACTCTAAACCCTATAACCCTAAGGGCAAAAGCCCTATAAGCCCTACCCCAAAACTGTGAAGGAAGCCGGAGCTTGTGGACTGGCAGCTCGAGCCGCGGCATGCGACCAAGGTCCCCTGGCTTTCCGAGAGACGGGCTGTGGATCTGGGGGGTTTCCGACACCTTCGGGGTTTAGGGTTTAGGGTTTAGGGTTTAGGGTTTAGGGTTGTGGATCTGAGTAGGGGTGCCTTATTTGGGGGTCCTTAGAAGAAGGATCCTACTATCTAGGGTACTATATTGGGGTCCCCTATTTTCGGGAACCCCCATCTAAACCCTCGAAACCCTGTGTAAACCCTGCTTGTTAGCCGAAAAGACCGACCTCTTCAGAGTCCCCGATTTTGGTTTCAATATATAGCTCCTCGCAAAGGTAGGTCTCTTGGGCCGCAGGTGGGGGCTCAGGGTTTAGAGGTTGAGGGTGGAGGCTCAAGGGTTTCTCAAGCTGTTGAGGCTTAGGGTGTCATTCCGTTCAAGGGTTCTGTAGGGGCATTATGAGGCTTAGATAGCCGCTGGGAGAGCTTTAAACTTTTTGTCCTTATATATTTAGTTTACCATAGAAAGTTTGAAGTTTTTTGGGGCTACTTATTGAAGAAGAGAGGAGAGTTGGTGATGAAAGGTTTTGGCTTTGGTGAGTTGGACTTAGCATATTGGAGAGAGGCAGAACGGGCTATGGGTTTAGGAATGGGGTTTGAGGTTTCAGCCACAGAGCTTTGGGTTTAGATACCAGGCGGCTTTAGTGCAGCTCTGAGGAGCACATCGGTTTTTGCAGGTGTTTTGTACTTGAGGTTGTGCCATATCATCATCATCATCATCATCATCATCATCTCTATACTCTTGCCTGTAGAACTGCTAGGATACTGCTCCCTATGGTTTTTCTTCGGTCAGCGTCATGCAGGTGCCTTCGGCCCGTCGGTCACCAGGTACAAGAACTCTCACTGTGTGTTTTGTCATCTTCCCTTTTTTTACGCAGCTCGTGCCAATACTACTTACATTGCCGGATATGTCTCGGCATGGGCCTCGACGTAGGGTCTGTCATGTGGCATGTTGTAGAGTACTTTTACTTCACGCCAGCCTGATCGATGCGAAGTCTCCGTGCATGCTGCGCGGGCTTGGTATTAACAGTAGGACCTCTCAGAACATACGCCATAAGACCCCTTCATGGACTAATAAACCACTAAACCCTATAACCCTAAACCCAACCACATAAAAAAGGCCCTCAGCAAAAACAAAAACCACAAAATCGGATGAAACCGTCAGGTGCTCTCGCGCTTGGCCCGGGCCGGCCGGGTGCGTCTCTGCCGCCAGGTGCTGCAGGCGATGCGCCGGGGTCAGGCACCGGGTTGGGCGGGTTTCTTGTAGGCTTCTGGGGTTCTATGATATGAACAAGTTGAAACCCTAACCTATAGGATTCTAGGGTTCCTCTGAAGGGTTCTAACCCAGAGGCTTCTAGAGTCCTTTCAAAGGGTTCTAACCCTAACCTATAGAGGCTTCTAGGGTCCCTTTTTGACAGAACGGATCTATAGGGCTTGCAGGGTTTAGGGTTCAGCGCTTCGCGGCTTCAAGCGTCGAGTTGAGGTCTAGGGTTGAGGGTTTAGTGGCTACGTACCAGGCGTTCTTGCTTGCAAGCCTGCAGCAAAAAGGGTTTAGGGTTGAGAGTTTAGTGTTTAGGGTTGAGGGAGTTGAAGGTTTACGGTATGGGGCATGCTGAACAGCACTGCTCGAAACAACTGCGACCACTTTTTGATGCATCCGTCCGAAGTAGCCAAACGGCTGCCATGTTCATCCTATCTGTCGATGCTACACATCCTGCGTGACCGTATGCAGCCTAAGCCCCAGCCTCCAGCACTTGTGCTAGTTCTCAGGGTCTAAATCTGGATGTCGCTCTTGCTGGGCGCTTACTACTTGTTGATGCTGGCGTTTGGTGGAGCCGTTCAGGGTTTCGGCTTTTGGGGTTTTCTGGCCGAGAGAAGCCTTGTTGGCAGGTGCAGGCGAATGTCTTCCATTACAGCGCGGGAATCAGTGCCTGCGAGTTCCCTGGCCTTACATGCCGAGAGAGTTGATGTAGACACTCATCAGCCACGATAATCCTACCGGACGCGTCTGCGTCAGAGTAATTGAACGCAAAAGTCGAAGCTTATCAAGGGTGCGTGTGCGTGTGTGTGTTGCATATGTTCTGAGATGGAGGGTTCTTAGAACTACCGATGCTTTACTCAGGGGCACTTTCGATAAGGATCTTGCCATCTGCGGTTGATCGCAGGTTTCTAGATTGTTAACTTGTGCTAATGCCCGAATCTGGCGCTTAACTGATCTGGTTTTGTTGCCCGCTCTTGGCCTGTCAGCGGACAGACGTGCAAAGTTCAGACAGTCACCCCAAGAGAGACGGTGTGCTTCCAAACCTTAAAGCATCGGCTGGATACTCGCCTGGATGGTATACAGTATTGCTAGCATATACAATGCCAATAGCGGCTGCACAAGTAAGAACGATAAGTATATGAACGTAGAGTCATGAAGCATGATGTGAAGCCGAGCTGTGAGAGACCACATGCCCGGCAACCTAAAGCCCCAAACCTCGTACTCTAAAGCAGGGGGGGCCTTTTTCTGATGAATGTAAAAAGTTATCTTGGCGATTTCCATTACGTAAACGCACTACGGTTGTTGTTTTCAAGTGTTACTAGTATTAACGTTCATGCGACAGTCTGGAGCCACGGAATACACAGGCATGCCAGCTAGCAGGTCTGCCACATTCGTCCCAAAGTCGCAGGCCAGTGCAAGGACTGGTCTCACGGAGGGATTTTGGTGAAAACATCACATATACTATCTATAAGTTTTGAAAGCCGTGAGACTGGCAAGGAAGCCTACTTCCCCAACAGTGAGAAATGAAACCCACAATTACCAGACCCTAAACCCTAAGCCTCAAGCCGTGACAGCCCGCTGCGAGGCTTACCTCTGCTTGGGATGCTGCGATCGACATGGTGACTTGCCTGCAGTCTTACTCTTTTCAGGGAGCCAATCCCCGCTCAATCAAAGAGCATCCCTTAAATCAGAGGGCTTTTTGATTTTGGGTGTGGATGTCTGAAGCAAGCACGTTTCTATCCTTAGGAACAATGTATTTCCCCTGACCTTACAGAACTCGCTCGCCATCGTTCTTGGACAGTAGCGCTCAACTTCTGGAAGGGCTGAATTCGAGAAGACTTCTCCAGCCACAGAACACAACAGATTGCCAGTGTATATTTCGGCACTTGTGACGACTATCTCCCCTTCTGGAGAGGATGAACATAATCATGCAAACCCTAAACCCTAAACCCTAAACCCCAGGTGCAGCGCTTGAATGACAGATGACCACGAACCTACATGTCTGCACTCTCGACTCCTCTGTCTCACATGCTTCAGACATCTATTGTAGTTCGTTTTTTGGGGCTACCTTTTTGGATCCTAAGAAAAAGATATATATATATATACTACAATATATATATATATATATGGTCCATGGCGACTATAGACTACAGGTAAGCTTGCCTTATTACCATCTTCCGAAACGCCGGCCCTGAACCGTGTTGAGGAGCAGCGCCAGAATGCCGCCTCTCAGCCCCGAGTGCTGAAGCCGTAGAAACAAGAAGTCGAAGACCTTAGCCTTAAGCTAGACTTTTTTGTGGAAATCCTTATGATAGTTATAGTATACGTAATATACACCAAAACCCTTTTCTGATTATCAGGGCCCCTGGGTTTGAATCTCCGAGTTCCCCCAACCTCCTTACTTAAACAGGCTTTGGGTATTTAGGGTTTCGGATTTAGGGCTTAGGGTTTTAAACTTATTAAAGTATGCAAGACAAGGTCTCTTCGCTGCCAAGCATGCGCCTGATGCCCGACATTGTAGCGGCTCTTCTGCAAGGTTCCGGCGAATGTCCTGTCAGGCGTCTTGCACCTACTCGGCCCGCAAGCTTGTGGATCTTGTGGCTTACAATGCAGCTTCAACCTTGTTCTCAGCCCGGTTGATTAACCTCGATGACCAAGCTGAAGCAGAAATTCCGCCAGTCCAACCCAACCTGGCTCGATGGCCGCTGGATATAGGCCTGTAGCAATCCAGGCCTGCGGGCAAAGGCTGATTCCGTACGGGGTCGAAATACGGCGAGCCGATTGACTCAGGTGCTGAACACAGCTGCCAGCACTTGCGGGCAGCCTGGTTACCTGGTCGGACCAGATTGTGCATGACATGCAACCTAAACTCGCAACAGTCTATGATGCTAAGTCCCAATACTCACAGCTTGCAAATTTGCAAAGTAGCTTATGCCACAGAGCGTTGTCGGTGACCGGGGGTTTGATGGACTCTTTCCTTCGAATTGGTTTGCCACGTTTTGAAATTAAGGCCTAAACCCTAAAGCCGCAAGCAAGAGGGTCCTAGTGGGAAGGCTCCTCGGGCCTCCAGATTCCGGTTACAGTCGCAAGAATGCCAGCACTGAAGTTGACCTTCTCTGCTGCTTCCCTGTAGAGTGCAGTTCTTTAGGTCGCTGGCAGCCGGCGCTCCATTTGCTTGGATCCACCACTGGCATGGATCTCGAGGCTGACATTATCAGCACCTTGGTGTAATCGTGGCAACAGCTTTTACACGTGTGTGTGTGTGTGTGTGTGCTGACGACCAGAACCAAAACTAGTTCTAGGCATGAAGTTACGCAGTGTTTCGGAACTTCTTCAGATTCCGAGCAGCAGCGCAGGAACAGGGCTTATGGTCTGGGTTCAGGCATCCAAAGCAGAAGGGATGAAGATAATATGGCCCAGCTGCCAGCATCTGAGCCCATACGGCTGATGATACAAATCCTGCATTGCCCAGAGTAATAATTCGCCATAGCTCCCATAGCTTAGGGTCTTCAAGGTAATTAATGCAGGATTCATATCATCATCAGTAATGAAGCCCTTAAACCTTCAGCTTAGAGCCCCCAGGCCCTTCAAGCCTCAAAGATCCTTGACCCAGGAAGCCCAATGCATCTGAACTGCATCAAACTTCGTATAGATAGATAGATTGATTGATAGATTGATAGATTGATAGATTGATAGATTGATAGATTGATAGGTTGATAGGTTGATAGGTTGATAGATAGATAGATAGATAGATAGATAGATAGTTAGATAGATAGAGAGAGAGAGAGAGAGAGAGAAAGAGAGAGGGGTTGGCGGGATGCTGACCTTCAACAGTCCTCAACCTCAGCCTTCTAGCCCCCCTAAACCCAGAAAGAGAAGCAAGAACTCTGAAAGCCCTAGCGTTTGCCGGGTCTGTTGTCAGATGGGCTTTCACTATGCTTGTGTACTTGTTTTCTGGCCTTTAATCCAAGCCCTCCCTGACAACCTGGAGCTCCAGCAGTGAATCTAGGGTTTAGGGTTTAGGGTTTAGGGTTTAGGGTCTGTCAGTTCCCTTGCTTTGTTCTTGACCCTTATCGCTACAGACCTTGCCAGGCCTGTCCGAGTGTGAGTGTCAAAAAAAAACCCTAAACCCCTAACCCCTAACCCCTAAACCCATAAACCCTAAACCCTAAACACCTAAACCCTAAACCCCATAAACCCTATAAACTCAAAACCCCAAAACCCTAAACCCAAGGCTTCAACGCGTCCCTCGGCGCCTGTGGCACTGCGGGACGCTGGCGCGAGGCTGCAGGGCTCCTCTTCGAAGCAGCTGTGGGAGCTGTGTCTCGGATTGATCGTGTGTCTGGTGCTTAGTAGGGAATGGGGGAATGGATCCCTATGACAGTCCCTTAAGGTCCCTTATAGTAGTCCCTATGACCCATTCCCCCATTCCCTACTAAGCACCAGACAGTCGTTTTCGGGCTTCGGCCCGTTGGCGCTTCCGGTTCTTGGGCTTAGGGCTCTGGGCCTTTTCAGCTAGACCTTAAGGGCTTGGAGTGTTGGTTTAAGTAACTACGGTGTTCAAGGCTTGGGGGTTGTGGGGTTTATAGGGTTTAGAAGTTTCTGACGTAGGGTATTCCGTGTGTTCGGCTTTAGAGATTTACGGCTTGGGCAGGGGGCTTCGGGATCGAGGGTAAACTTATAGAGGGCATTCAAAGTGCATGTAAAGTCACCCGAAACGGGGAGCACAGTATAACCCCTAAGTATTTAAGTACACCCAAGAGTTTCTAGTTAGGCCTCAGGGCCCGATGCAGGAATATTTTTGGTTTACGGTTTGGATACGAATTGGATACGATTCACTGATACGATTGGCGTGTTCCGCATTTCGGGAAATACGATTCGAATACGATTTCGATATAGGGGGCGATACGCTCTCGTCCAAAGGAAATATGATACGATTTCAATAAAGATTGCAATCCTTTGCCAAAACCGCTAGGACTCAACCTAAATCTGGACCCGCATGCTCGGCCCTGCCAGTCAATGTCGCGTCGCATCGGCGCCCCTACTGGAACCCGTATCTGAATACATAAAGAGCCGGGAAATAATCGTATCCAAACGGTATCCAAACCCCTATATTTCCTTGGGGAGGAGCCAACACTCGGCTTCGGGAGGTTTTCGCTTTTCGGGGGGGGCCAGACGCGGCAGTATCCAAATCCTATCCAAAACCCCTATCCAAACCCCTATCCAAAAAAACCCTTTCCAAACCGTATCCAACCCCCTATCCCAAACCCCTAATTTTCCTTGGGGAGGAGCCAAAACTCGGCTTCGGGAAGTTGTCGGGCGAGCAGGGCGTATGCGCCAGCCAAATCGTACCCAAATCGTATCCAAACCCATATCCAAAAAAACCCTATCCAAATCGTATCCAAACCCCTATCCAAACCCCTATTTTTCCTTGGGGAGGAGCCAAAACTGGGTTTCGGGAGGTTTTCGCGGGCGGGGCGGATGCGGCAGCCAAATCGTATCCAAACCCCTATCCAAAAAAACCCTATCCAAACTCCTATGTTTCCTTGGGGTTGAGGGCCTACCTGGACCCCATAGGTATGTAGAGTAATCGCTCTTTATAGGGGTTGGGTTATCATTTTGCCCTACTTTTGGGTGTTTAGGAAGTGACCTCGTGCTGAACTAGACGGTGCTTCGATTTCTTTGCTGTAATCGCTCGGAAAGTGGCGCCTTTGTGTCTTGTTCCAAGATCCTCCAACATCCCCTTAACTACGTCTATGTAATGTTCGTTAAAACATATTCGGGCTAGGGATCTTACGATTATTTACGGTATATTACTCCTGACTTAAAAGGTTTGGGGTATCTGGGTTCCAGTTGGACGACCAAGCGCTTCCGGCGATGTCTGCGCATTTCAGCTGCGAGTGTCGAATTCGAAGGAGTGATTCATGGGGCTTGGGATGCCGGGCTAAAGCTAGACATAGAGAAGCCGAAGCATCCCTAAACGCCAAACATTTGAGGGATAAGTATATTTTGAAGCTGATGAAGCCCAAAGCCCTGGACCGCAGCTCCACGCGGCTCAGGTCAAAGCAAGCCCAGTGACGCTGAATGCGACGATCGATGCTTGCGCTGAGCAGTGGGACACAGCTTTGAAGCTCCTGGCCTCCTGGCTGCCTTAGGGACTGCTGCGGGGTTATTCTTAGGGTGATTCTCTCAGGTTTGGCATGATGCTTTGGGGTTTACTGTTTAGGACTCTGTCGGGGGAACCTTTGCAGCTGCTGCTAGCTTAGCTCCCGCAGCTGCCGATCACATAATCAGCCTAAAGCCCTTAGTTAGCCAATAGGAGAGCTTTAAACTTTTTGGCCTTATATATTTGGTCTATCCTAAAAAGTTTGAACTTTTTTGGGCCTGGTTGTTGAAGAAGAGTGTGGTCCAACTTCGCCCTTTCGGGAGTAGTACCCGATAGCTGCCATCATCTCTCCAGCGCAGCGGAGTTGAGGACACTCGTAGCAGTCGTCGTCGTCGTAGTAGTGGTAGTAGTAGTCGTCGTCGTCGTCGTCGTCGTAGTCGTAGTATTATATAGTAGTGGTAGGAGGTGGTGTCATTGGTAGAAGAAGTAGCAGCGACAGCAGCTCTAAACATCCCAAACCCACAAAATTCTTTCAATTTTCCATCCTAAACGTATCACTTCCGTCATTATAACACTTCCATGGCAACCTTGTCATGTGCCTGCAGTGACAAGACCGTGCATAAACACCAAGGAGTTCATGAAGGTATCGCTGCTAGAAGCCACCTGCATTTCGTCGCTTGGCTCAGGTTTCGGCATAGGGCATAGGACAGTTAGTCCAGGCTTACAGGTTTAGAGTTTAGGAGGGTCCAGACTTACAGCAGGCTGCTGTAAAAGAGCCGGCCATATCTTCATCCGTACCCATCATTCCGGGCGGAGATGATAGCGCTGCTGTGTTTCCCAACCTGTTGCCAGATGTTGTCAGTACTATTCGCAGCTGGTGTTCAAAGTTGCTCTTATCACCCTTGCAATGCATTGCAGCCGGGCACCTAGATGTTCGATGTATGCTTGTTCTCAGAGATGCATCCTCACGACGGTACTGTGTTCACATGGATGCCAAGAGGTCTAGATGGTTCAGTGTGCCAGAAGAAGCATACTTGCAATAAGGGCGTGCTCCGATTGCCGTCTTCGAGCTTAGTGTATGGCTGCTTAAGCTGCTTAAGTCCTCCGCAGAATTTCCCAGAGAGCCCAATACTGCCTAAGTGAGGAGTGCTCCTTCAGTGTTATAGGGCTTCTTTTTATCATGTAGAACATAGATATTCCTGAGTCAATGCGTTGGCTTTGTGCTTCTTCGTTGTTTTTCTGTTCGTTGCCATCTAATTTGTCTTTGCTGCTGCGAACGTTGCGAATTTGCTGCGGGCCTTGGTCTCCGTTGCATTTCACACAGTTATAAGCAAGCTGACCATGCATAGAGATGCCCAAACCTTCCAGGTTCAACTCCACTATCAATGCCTGTGAGCCTCTTGGTTTCGGTTTGAGCTTTAGCTTCATTGGGTTTCAGAATTCGGGTAATGTAGGGGCCTTAATAATTAGAATAGGGTTTGGGGGTTCTTTCATATAGTTATAGTATAATATACGAAAATACCCCCAAACCCTAAACCCTAAACCCTAAACCCTAAACCCTAAACCCCAAACCCTGTTCTAAATTTGAAGGCCCCTACATTACGGGTTTCAGGGCTGGGCGGCTCGGGCTCAGGGTCGGGTTAGGAGTTTGACAGTCGAGATGAAGGTTTCCCTAGGGTTTGGGGTTTAGGGTTTAGGGTTTAGGGTTTAGGGTTTAGGGTTTAGGGTTTAGGGTTTAGCATCAGAATAGCCCAAAAGCCATTTATAATAGGGTCTTTGGGCCCAAAAGCCTCAAAATACGAGTTCCTTGATGGTAAGGGTTAGGGTTCTAGATGAAGGTTTCCTTAACTCATAATGGTTCAGCATAGGCCGGATTCCAAAACGGGGCAGAGCTGCCTCCTGATTCTCAGAGCGTTCAGGAATCAGGACCTTGAGGTATTACCCTGGGGCTCCAAATAGCCCAATGTAGGTGCTATTATTATTTACAGACTTTAGACCCCAAAGTAGGTACTATTTGTATATTTGCAGCCCAAGGGTTAGGCCTTTCTCTTAAAGGCTTTCGGGTTTGGGTTTGGGGTGCGCAGGCGCTGCGGCCCTGTCAGGCCTCCGTCCACCTAAACCTGGAAACGCTGACAGGGGGCCAAGAAGGCCCCACTTCAAGAAATCCCTAGACCCTAAACCGAACAGACTACAAATCCCAGATAGTTATGAGGTTGCATAATCCTAAGGGTCCAAGTAGTCCTGAATTATGGTTTTGGGTACCCAAAAAGGCCCCAAAGTCCTCAAATAATGGGTACTTGGACCCTTAGGGTAAGGAACTGCTGGAGTTTATCAACCTAAACCCTAAACCCTATAAACCCTAAACCCTAAACCCTAAACTAACCCTAAACCCTAAACCCTAAACCCTAAACCCTAAACCCTAAACCCTATCCATCAGCCGCATCCCGGGAGTTGCGAGGAAAGGGGCGGCCTCCTTCCGGCCAGCTGCGCGGGAGATGCGCCTTAGCAGCTCAGGGCTTCTCGGGGCCCTCTTGGCGTGAAGGTTTAAAAACGCTGAGGTAGGGTGAGGGTTTAGGGTTTAGGGGCTTTGGGTTTTAGGGTTTAGGGCTTAGGGCTTAGGGTTTAGGGTTGTTGGGTTTAGGGCTTAGGGTAGGGTTTAGGGCTTAGGGCTTAGGGTTTAGGGTGGAAGGCGCGAGTCACCGGCACCCTCCCGGATTCTCGTAGAACTGAGGTGGGACCCCATAGTCGACTAGGCTTGGAAGTCGAGATTATAGTCCCTATAGTTCATGAACCTTATAATTACCTCAAAACCTAATCTCTCAACCCCAAATCCCGAAAACCTCAGCCCTCTAAACCCCAAACCTGGAAAACCTCAGCCCTCTAAACCCAAAACCCCAAAAACCTCAGCCTTTTCAACCCAAAACCCCGAAAACCTCAGCCTTTTAGAGGATCCATCCTGAAAACCTCGGAGCGGATCCCTAAACCCTTGAATCCTGGCCCTAAAAGAAATTGGGCCTTAATGATTGGAATAGGGTTTTGGGGTATGTTATACTTTATATAATAAGGAATCCCCAAAATAGTATAGGTAACTATTCAAGCCGCTACATTATCCCCCGACCTTGCCGCGATGAGGATTCGTGATGACATCTCCGGGCCTTCTTCGCTGTCGGCTGCTCGGCTCCGTCCTGCAGCGAGGGGGTCGGTAAACCGACAGCGCCAAAGCCGAAACTACTCCTTCTAGATTCGCTGTCAGGTTTGAGAAGTTTGGGAAGTTGAGGGTTTTTTTTAATTAATTTTGGGAAGTTTGGGGTTTTGATAATTTTGGGAAGTCAAGGCTTCAGAGAGGTCTCAAGAATTCAGGGTACTGTGATGGACAGCCTCGCAGAAGCAAAGAAATCTCTACTGTAAACCGAAAGACCTGAAAATGGGGTTTAGGGTTTAGGGTTTGAGGTTCATGGGACGTAGTAATTAGGGCTACAAATAGGGTAACTATACTTATAATCACTTCTAACCCCAATCAAGGTACTTGTAACTGTACTTGTTAAGTCCCATGAACCTCCAAGTATCTGATTTCCATACCCGAGTTCCTGAACCGCAAGCGCTGGACCCAGCAAGCCTGAAAAGCACAGTTTAGGGTTTTGGGTTTAGGGTTTAGGTCCGACTGGTTACCGAAAGGGTTCTCAGTAGCTGCATACTAGATTTACTTCTATGCTAGGAGGTATTGTTATGGCGTGTGTAAGTATTCCCAACTGTAGACTGTAGATCTACGGAGCAAAAAGGCACATAAGACCAGCATAAACTAGTGAAGCTTGATGCCCCGTACATATATGGCTTTAAAGCTGCCACTATGGGCTCCGAATCCGTAGCCGTAGCTTTGTCAGGTTACAAGCCCCCACTGGCATCCAAAATTAGGTGGTACTCTTTCCCCAGGCCGTCTCAAAAGATCTTGGGTACCTGTAAGGGGCACAACAAGCTACACAACCCCCCACTTTCTAGCATGCAACAGAGAAGCCTAAACCAGTCAAGCTATTCCTCAGGGCTCCGTATTACAACTTGCGTATAATCCGACCCCAAGAATGCAAACTTTTCTGGGAATGGTTACCTATCGCCCTAAAGTAGTTCCTTTTTGGGGTTACCTTATAGGATTCTCTATATGAACCCAAAAGGGAACTACTTTAGGGCCTATGGCTAGGCCTTCTCGGTACCTGTCCCCTTCAGGTGTCCATGAGCGCCGTCATCCCCCCTAAACCCTAAACCCTAAATCCTAAACCCTAAACCCTAAACCCTAAACCCTAAACCCTAAACCCTAAACCCAAGCCTGAGCCCCAAAACTCCGAACGCCAAAACCCGAGACCGAGACCCTAAGTGCCAAGCCCTACCCGCCCTACCCCAAACCCCTAAACCCTATTCTAATTTTTAGGGTTTAGGGTTTAGGGTTTAGGGTTTAGGGTTTAATTATGAAGGCCCCTATATTAATTTAGGGATTTGGTGTTGTAGGGTTAACTTCGGGTTTGGGGTTTAGGGTCGCGTTGAGGTTTAGGGTTTCAACCCTAATGTAAGGGCCTAAATACCTAGAACAGGGTTTTGGGTCCCATTATGCTATAGCTATAATACGGAACCCCCCAAAAAATAATATAGTAAGCACTTGTTTAGGCCCCTATAGTACCCCAAACCCCAGGAGACCTAAGCTAGGCTTGCTGGTGAGGATTTTGCAATGCGAGAAGGAAAAACCAAAAGCTTGAAGAAAGGACTGGCCCAGAGCCACATTTCTGCTGGATGCCATGCGCCAGAGAGGGCTGCTTCCGGACATCTTCGGCCCCTTCTCAGCAACTGAAAAGGGAGTTTAGGGTTTAGGGTTTAGGGTTTTAAGGTCCCCCTGATAGTTTCCGTACACTTCCGCCATAATCTACCCCCCCAAGCCCTTCTCGAGTCAATTTTTCAATCCCCTACATTAACCTGCCCCTGAAACATCCGGATGCCCTCAGCCATCAAATCCTGAACCCTAAGATGTCCGAACCTCACCTGGCTCGTCCGACATGTGAGCCTAAACCCTATACGCAAAACCCTAACTCCTGAAATAGAAGCCCCAACAATACAGCCCTAAACCCTAAACCCCTAAACCCTAAAGCTTAAACCCTAAATCTCGGTTGTTCTGAACCCGTGGAGGGTTTTAGGTTTTGTTGAACCTATGCATTTGAAAAAGCAATTTACCTTATGGGTGGTTCTTTAATTTAGGGCTCCTTTTAGGGTCCTTGTTGTAAGGGATTGGTGATCTAAAAGGGACCCTAATTTAGAGAACTACCCTTATTCTTTCGAGACAAGTAGGGGCCAATCTACACATGCTTTGGACAAGGCTGCCTCTGCGCGCTTGTTTGCAGGCTCACTTGTGCTTATGCTCGTAAGACGAAAGTGGGCAAAGTCGCATAATTCGACTCCAAGTCCTAAACCCTAAACCCTAGACCTTGAAGATCTCAATTCTCAGATCCATATGGACTCCATCGAGGTACCGGAATCCTCAAGGCCTAAAACATGATACTACCCTAAACCCGAAGCAAAAAGCCCTAAATCCTAAACCCTGCCCATCAACCAGGCTTTCCGAGTCGAACGCTGTATCCAGTAAGCACCAAAATGCTTCATATTTTCACTGCTTCAGCCGATGCACCCTGAACCCCAAAACCCGAAACCCCGAAGTGGCTCAACATAGTCTGCAGTGACTGGGAAGGAAATCATGGACTCTGAGTAGTAAGATCCGTATTTCGGGACCCCTTGAAGGTGCCCCCAAATTCTAGTGAATTTTGAAACACTAAAGAGGCCTTTCCCCCCCCCCCCCCCCCCCGAATTGTGTGACTTCAACCCAGAAACAATTCCCTTTCTTTCCCTAAACCCTAAACCTCTGAACCCTACAAGTCGAGAAGTGTACCAAAACCCTAAACCCTCACCCTTTGAACATCTTTGAACCCCCCCCCAGATACTGCCAGAAGCAGAGGCTTCAACTCGGCAGTCAGCGCGTGTGAGAAAGCGGTTGCTGGATGGGAGGTGGCAATTTCAGAAACTTACCCTATGCTTCCACGGACCTTGTTATTAGGTCCTTAAGGTTTCAGGGCCTAACTATATGGTCCATGGAAGCATTGGGTTAGTGGTTGGTAATTGAGGGTTTAGGATGTTGAAAAAAGCCTTTGGGTTTAGGGGTTTGGGGTTTGGAGTAAACCCTGAACCCCAAACCCCTAAACCCCAAGCCCTAAACCGTTTAGGGTTCCTGTCTGTGGTCTCCTCCAAGGTTTATTAGGGCTTCTCTGGTATCCCCATGATAAACTTACCCTAGCGGTCCATGTTCTCACATAGTATAATATGTATTGGCCCTAAAGTACCGATATAGGTACTACTGTAAGGCAAAAGTACTTTATACTAAAGGAGAACATGGACCCTTAGGGCCTTAGGGTTAGGCAGAAAGCCGAAGATCCCTCCTGATTTCGGGGTTTAGGGTTGAGGGTCTAGAGACTTTCAACAAGACAGGGGCACCTAATACTTTGGCGTTAGGGTTTAGGGAGTCTTAAAGAGTCGGTTTAGGGAGTTTCAGAAGATAGTGGTACCTTGCTTCGGGGTCCCTATGACAAGAGTCGGACTGGCCAGGGCCCGAAATTAATGTCTATTAAGGACCAACATAGCTGTATGAAAGGGTACGTGGGGTCCTGGTAGTCAGGGCAGTTAGTTTAGGGTTTTGGTTTTAGGGTTTTTAGGGTTGAGGGTTTAGGGTCCATGCTGTGAAACCTGGAGGTGCCACTGCAACTGCTTCAGCAGATGGAGGATGTGGAGATCAGTTCGGGGTGCGTTGATTACCCTGACAGCACCATACCGCTTCATCAAGAAATATAGAACTTAAGTTATACTGGGCTTGATGTATGATTCAAGGTATATTCCTGAATTAAGGGGTATTAACTATTCAGCATTCTGCGCTACAGAATGGCCGCAATGAACGTCGGATTCTGCTTTAGGGTTTGGTGTCCAAGAATCTGGGTCATCGGCATTGATTGTGTGCAGCAGTTTCGACAGGCTGTGACGTTCCAGCTGGGGAGGTTGATATCTTGCAACACCAAGGCATTAAAGCAAAATCCTTGACCGTAAACCCTGAAGGCTTTGTGGTTGAAGCTTTCCAGCCCTGCGCCGTCAGTACTTAGCGGAGCAGCATGGAACCTGCGATCGTTTCGTATTTCCAGATTCATTCATGAGCAGTCAGAGTCATGGTGCCAATGCTTGCATTGGGGTCATAGGTAGCATGACTAGGTGTATCCTACATGCTGCCCTTTTTGATTATGTGACTCCTCAATGCAGTTACGAAGCCCATGAAATTTGACCAACGAAAGTCGTAGTGAAGACATACCCGTGCAGGACTTGAGGGTGGCGAAGGACGTCGTGAGCAACTTCGCTGCCCTAGTGAGCGCAGGGTCGAGCATACACTTCGTCAAATTTGTTGGTGGGGTTGTAGGCTCAGTACGCAAGCGGAATTTCGGGTTCCAGACGAATTTTCTGCTTCGCGGTTGGAGCTGGTACCTGAGATTCAGGCTTCCGCCGCGTGAGCATTTCGCGTTCGCCTTAGTCTTTGCGAGGGATGTATGTTCCTTTTGTTGCATGGCGCAGTTTTGCCGGAGGCTGTCCTTGTCCCAATAAGCCTCAGTGATGTGCTGTCATCGATGGTTTGCTTGATGCAGTCTTCGCAGATGTGTGTAGTAGGTTGAAGACTGTGAAAGGGCAGAGCACATTCGCCTCGTCCACATACGGGCTCCAGAGGGATCCGGTGCGCACCTCAAATGTCAAAGTAGTCATCTGTCCTCTCATGTTGTGAGCACAGCTGGCACTTGATGCCTGAGCAGGGTTTGACTGCTAGTAAGATTGTTGTGAGCATGCTTGCGTTATCTTGGTTCCAACCGCAGAACGGCAAACCACATGCCTCGCCTGGAATGTCCGAGTGTCAGCGCCGAAACTTGATATCCTATGTCGACATTTCATGCTGTGAGACATCAGTCTCGCCTTGCCGAAACTACCAAACCTTGTTCTCAGGCCCATGCAACAGAAAGCTGCGCTAAAAGAAAGCAGATGTTGTGCCGTGGTCGTGCTTTTAGTTTATTGTTGACTCTTTCGCACCCGCTGTGAGGTTACAGCAGCACCATCAGTGCGCACGAGAAGGCCATTTCTTGAAACTTAACCTCTGCAAGGCCCTCAGAGTCCCTAAACCCTAAACCCTAAACCCTAAATCCCTAAACCCTGACCTTCCGCCTGCAACCTGCCAGTCGACATGGCCTGAAACGCCCAAACTCGTTTACCACACACTGCTTGTTATATTATATTTCTGGTTGCTTCGTTATTGGGCAGTTCGGGCTAGTGAGCACGTCGACAAACAGGTATGTACATGTAGC